GTAGTGGTAGTGGTATAGTGGTATAGTGGTATAGTGGTATAGTGGTATAGTGGTATAGTGGTATAGTGGTATAGTGGTAGTGGTAGTGGTAGTGGTAGTGGTAGTAGTAGTAGTAGTAGTAGTAGTAGCAACAGCAGCAGCAGCAGCAGCAGTAGTAGGAGCAGGAAAAAGAGTAGTTGGAGTAGGTAGTAGGTAGTAGGTGGTCGTCGTAGTAGTAGTAGTAGTCGTCGTCGTCGTCGCCGCCGGTCGTGGTAGTAGTGGTGGTGGTGGTGGCTGTGGTGGTACTGGTAGCAGACGTAGTAACAAGTACTAGTAAGCAAGAAATGCATAATAGCAGAAATACAGATCCCAATAGAATTAGCGTCAGTAGCAGTTTAGTGCTTGTACTTGTGTTAGGACGAATTGTCATCAATGCTAGGGCGACGATCGTTGATGCCATCAGAATGGGCAGTGGTTCACAGAACGAGTTGGTGTGTATCGATCTCGTATCGACAAGGGGATCGAATGGTTTAGCTACTTATCAATCCAAAATCCCTGCCGCCAGGGTGGATACAGCGGGAACGTTTGCACGCTTCAATCAGGGAAGCTTAGAGCCCTGGAGCAGGCCGCAGCGTGTGTCATTGAATCTGCTCTTTCCACACTGGTTCCCTGTCGGGGGCTATATTAAAAATGACTTTGTTTAATCCTTCTTATTGGGTTTTATTATAACACAAACGTAAAATTGTAGCCAACAAGGACCCAGCAAAGGCTATCCCAGCTAGCCAGTCTTCAGGATACCTGTGCAAAAAACAAACTCCGCGTAACGGGAGCTCACACCTCAACCCTTGAACCCCTGACCCCATCCAAGAGGTCAGGCCTGCTCCAGTTCCTTGCTTGCAGCCGCGACATACTTGTCTGTACTGGGCTGCTGTACGAACACAGGCTTCACCACGAAGCGAGGTCGGCAGAGAAGTCGGGCCTTCTTGCTTGGCGCACTGCCTCCCTCGTGATGCCAGAGGCGTCTCACTGGGTCCAACGTCTCATCGTCCAAGCTGCCCGGGGCCCCCACGGCGAATGCAACCATGCGCTCTGTCATGTCCATGTCGGATCCATGGACACCACTCGCAGCTATCAGGCACTAAGCGAATCCTACCGCCCAGCCGCCCAACCCCACTTCCCCATGCATGTGCCTTCAGACTCTGCTGCGGCCCTGTGAGCTGAAAAGGGAAGGCAGCACCGAAAAAAAAGCATGGCACACTGAACCCCTCCCCCTTCAACCCCCCGCACATGCCTGATGCATCCAGGATGGAAACGAGGCTGCAATTTCCAGCAGGCTTGGAGCTTGCGGGGCCAGCTGCCATTGATTCCAACCCCTGAGACACCACGGGCTGTTGCTGGTGGCGCTGAGTGGAGAGAAGGGTGGGGGGCAGCCCGTAGCATAGTCCCAGAGCTGCCAGAACCGGGCTTTGCACGTGAGGAGCCCATGTTTGCCGCCCGGTGCTGGACGCTGTAAGCGTACCGGCACCTCGCCCAGCGCATGTAAAATATGGGAATGGCTGAAGCAATCTTGAGGCACGTCGGAACAAGCGACAATCCACACTGGCAATCTGCGAGCGGACAGCACCTCACGCAGCTGCAGCACAGCAGAACCCTCTGACGATGCCACAAGATTTGCGGCATTGAGGCAAAGGGCTGGCATCTGACAGCCCCAACCAAGGGGTGGAGGCTGTCCACGCATTCCGGAACGAGAAATACCGTATGCCCGCCAAAACTGTAGAGCATGCTGCAGTTGTAAGGTAGCAGAGTCGACATCACCAGGCCGCATGGGAGACACCGAACTCGAATCTTCAAGCACTTCGACATCCCGGCCATCTTCCACGAAGCCATCACGCACGGCTGCATACAGCCGGTCCTCCTTTCGCAGCAGTTGCCGTGAGAACGAGAAAGCAAGCTCTCGTTCTCCAACCGCATGAAACACGAATTTACAGCTGTTGAGATACTTGAAATTGAAACTGCCGCAATCAAAAACGAACATGTTCCGCATTCGTTTATGTTGTGGTCCACCACACCAGCTGAACCAATGCTTTTTCTGGTCTAAAAGGCCCTGTGCTTGCAGCAAGCAGCACAGGCCGGTTTGATCCCAGCATACTTCCTGATGCCATCTGGTTTCGCTGTCGTTCCACCACTTCTGAAGAAGATCCTTGCACCACCCAGAGCAAGTACGAAAGAACATGAGGCCAGTGTTGAGAAAATCTGTATCTGCCATATCTTCACCGATAATGAAGTCCGCTTCCTGTGAAAATGTGACGAACTGTTCAAGCTTCAGGTTGTGGTTCAAAATCATCGCATCAGCATCAATCCAAACAACATAATCGAAATCGTGGGCCCTGACCTCAATGCAGGGAGAAACCGTCTTCCCTGACCTCTGCAAAAGGTCTCTGAGGATAGCCACTTTCCCCCATGCAAGATGCCGGCCCGACGACAATTTGCACATCTCCTCTTGGCTGCGCACGACCCGTGCAAAACCGTAGCCATGCTTCTTGCAGTATGCTTCATTCACCACTGAGCACAAAAACCCAACCTTGTAGTTCACATCATGAGCTGTGACCAGCAAAAAGCGTAAGGGGTCCGCCTTTTTTTTTTGCGCGGCGTCGGCATGCATTGACCCTCCTGGCAGGAGCGGCCATTCGACGAATGCTGTCTGAAGCGGTTTTGCTTATGGGGCCTATGACCCGTGACAAACCGTAAGGGTGCTATGAAGTGCCACTATGCAAGAAGATTGGCATGCTTGGAAAATTGAAATTGCACGAAGAGTGTGATCGCGAATGTGCACAGTACCTGTCGGACGTATTGTTGAGCGACGATCTGAAGCAAGGATTGGACAAACATTAGGCTTTAGATGGTGCTGAGACACACAACCGCTCAAAACTCGAACAGCGCGGACCGAAACATTTACACTCCGCAAGCCGCGGGTCTTTGGCGGGTGAAAGCTGTTGGGCTCCTTTGCGCCCTGCGGATCACAGCATGGACGTTAATCGGAGAAGCACAGTCCTTCCACAGTCTGACTTGACTGCGTGAGTGGGAGAACGGGCTAGGTGCGACAGTGCAATACCTGGGATGGCTATCCGAGCATCCATGGTTTCATGAGAGAGTTGCTTGGTCGCACGATCCATCCCAGGCATGCAGTGAACACTTAAGTCTGGCCTGGCAGCAAGAGGGCTTTTACTCCTGCGCCACTAGATACATGTACAACCTCGGCATATCCGAGACCATGGAAGCTGTTTGAAGCATCGAAAGGGGAAGCCTCATGGAGAAGAAGCCGCCCTACGCGCCTCAGTGACAAGCTGATGTCTGCACTGAAGGATGCACGGGCTTAACCCTAGACCACTCCATGCGAGGCCCGTTGTGCATCTCGACCAATCCAGACTCCGGAGCCTAGAAATCCAAACTTGGTTTCGCGTTGTTTCGGCGCCAGGTTGCTACGGAGCTGACGATGACACAGTGACGACACAACACTGCTTTCACCACACAAAACATCTGCCGGTCCTGGCTCTGCATGTGCTGGCTTCTTCCCGCAAGGTGAAACGTACAGCTTGACGAACATCGGCGAATTTTGGAGATGACCGCCACGTGGCGAGGGGAGTCTAGACAGTCTATCCGCCAAAGGCGATCAAAGTACAGAACTGATGATAAGCAGAACACACATCTGAAAAAATGCTGCTCTGCAACAACGTCAACACAAGTCTGGCTTCTAAGAGTTGTTGCGTTGAGCCTCGGACCGGGCAAGCAGGCTTGTCGGGCCTCAAAAGTGCACCGTGCTGGACTCCCTGCACACATGAGCAGAATGATAGATTCATTCAGGCAGCTTTGTCTGCCAGCTCTTCGAAAGCGAGGGCCTGCGCTTCCAGCTCATGGAACTTGGTTTGTGTGCGTAGCTTACCCGCAAGGAGAAGGTGTATCACGTTTGAAGTTGTATCACATGCCACATCTAGCCGAATCTAGCCTGTCCACTTATGCATAGTTGGCCAGCAAAGACAAGGATTGCAAGGCTTTTCCCAAGACTGCAAGGTCTCGAATCGTCAGACTGTGCTTCAGGCGCTCACGCTGGGATGTTCCAGCCGAGGTCTTGGTAGACTGGTAGAAGTGACACAGAATGTCATCCCAAATCCGAAAGTCGGGCAAGCTTTGTCGCAGGAGGAGATGGCCGGTCGCAAGAGCAGGAAGAGTCTCGGATGTCGATTCTGCTGAAGTTGAAAGGCGCGTTGTTTTGCTGCTTTTGATGCGTCCCATCCCGCTCTCCGTTCGCATGTAGCGCCATAGGAAAGTGCATCCCTGCTATCCCTAATCATGCTCTAATGAGCGCATGTCAACCCGGAAAAACTGGCGAGTTCGAGTTTGGACCGACGTGCTGCGAAACTGCAGCGTAAAGTAGCGATGCATGAAAATCGTCAGAAATAACATGGTGCTTTGAATCGAGACTTCAAGAGGCCTCGTCGGCACTTCTGGATCGTGTTCTTGGGCTTTGTTTTGACATTCAGAAGTGGGATATGTGGGATCTCTGCCCCTGTCAGCCGGCCGCTTTGGCGAAGACGGTGCCCTGGATCTTGGTTGCCCACTTCTCGTACTGCCGGGTCTACGGTGCTCCAGGCGAAGTTGACGCCGCAGCTGCTGCTCAGTCAGCTTTAGCTGTGAGAGGCATGCCTCTTTCTCCTGGCCAATTCACACGAGATGCTTGCAACTAGGGGCACTATAGCTGCTAGCGGTCACGGTTGAAGGTGTAAACTGAATAAGAAGGGGTTACCCATGCCACCAAGTGTCTGCTTGTTGGCGGCGGAGCTCCTCCAACCGACGCGCTCGCTCTTTCATGGTCGACTCTGCGCTCCTGGCGCTGCTGCGCCGCGCCTCCAACAAGCTCTGAATCTCAAAGCGAAGTTCCTTCTCTTCCTGGATCTGAGAGTCTTGTCGCTGTCGCTGCTGTTCCTGGGCCTTCTTTCCTGCATCTTCGCTCTCCTTTGTATGAAACTGCCGATGTCTGGAAACCATCCTTTCCTGGCTTTGGATGGCATCCCGAAGCCTAGCCGTCAACTCCTCCACTTGTTTCTCTAAGGATGCATTTTTCATCTGCCAGACTTCTAGTTCTGCCTCCAGCCTTTCCACCTGCCATCGCAACATCAAGCGAGTGTTGGGGTGCTGGGCTGGGACATTGACGCATCTCGTCATCGAACTCAAAAACATGTTCCCTACAAACCTCCTTGAGAGCTCTTGCATTGCCATCAATGTTCAAGCTGCCAAGTTCTCCGCCGCCAGCTCGCTCAGCCGCACGGGCCATGCTCCTTTCACGTTTGTGACTTTCCTTCTGGAGATTTCTCAGCCTGCGCTTCTCCAGCTCCAGCGCGGATTCTACCTGTCACCACAGGTCATGCGATGATGTGCGATCCATCCCAACTTGTAGAAATCGTGTAATGCATCAGTCATAGGGAGATAACCACGGGGCCCGTTAATTGTTGGGACGCTGTTAATTGTGATAGGCTCCATCTTCGTGGGAAAGGAACGGCAGGCTGCTGCATTTTCGAAACTGGAGGCAGAAGAATTGACTGGCACCTTGGAGAATTGGCTACCTGCTGTTTGAATGTGCTGCGTGGCTCGCGAGCTGCTACAGGGATGGTTCAGGCTATGGCGAGGAATGCAACAGACGTGGAATTCCTTCCCTCCAAACTTGCAGTAGCCACCACTCGCCGGCCAACAATAGTTGTTTGTCAAGACATGCTTCGGCTTTGACCATGTCTGTGTCAAGCTGTGAAACTGACGCCCAGCGCCCGTGAAACTGAATCGCGTGCCTGCCGAATCTCGGCAAGCAGGACCCTCTCGGAATCTTCATCTCCCAAAAGGTGCTGAAGATGTGCATGCTCACGCTCACCTTACAAACGTGAAAATTTTTGTCCACACAATTGCCCCAATCACCAATGAGACATGGCATTGTGATGCAGGGAAGATGACTTCTTCCGCTTGGCTGGCTGATTGGTGTGTTTTTTCTCATCACTGGTTCGGAAACGTTCCGCGACCGTCATGCGCAAACGGCTGAAGTTCAAGTACTGTGCTGCC